CAGCTAGGTACACTGGGTCACAGTTTAATACAAAATTAATCAATAAGGTTTAATGCTGGCTATTAATAATTATTATACATTGACAAAAGCATACTCTTTCGGATTCTGAAAGCCAACGATTTTCAATAAAGATTTTCGAAAAGCTCCAAATTGTTTTGTTAGTGATTTCTATATCTTATTCCTGCGGCAAAACATTTGGAAGTCAATTGCATTAACTTTAACATTAGTAGTTTTCAGTGTAAACACAACGTTAGGCAATTGTTTCCGTTTGCTTACAACTTTTTCCTTTACTTCTTGGATGAAGGAGTCTTCTGTGAGGTAAGTAATTTTGTATCAAGTTTTACGTTACTTGATTGCTAATCGATAATTATAGTTGGCCATTAACTGCGCCAGCCCATATGCATAAGGCATGTTGCCTGACGTCTGTTCCGAAAATATGACTGCCGAGGAAGTGCCTACTTCTCTGCTAGCTTTGTGCCCATATTAATTTCTATTGAGTTCATGATGATTCCCTTTCACGTTTGTTTTGTACGAGTAAATGCAATATAATAACGTGACAGCGCTTTTCACGAAGCTGCTGCACATTCAACTTTATGCATCGTAGACATCGATTCTGATAGAAAGACAGTATTCTTTGTACCTGACGTGGCAGGAAGCTTTATTCAAAGTGAGAGTAATAGCAGAGTACACTTGATCAGCTACTGTCGAAGTAGGTGCTTTGGCTGATGCCACTGGTACGAAGCCGTTCGATGGGTACGACAGAGTATTTGGAAATCAGCACTGGCCAGACTAGGGGATATCACAGATAATCGTATCACTTATAATTAGAGACAAGAAGCAGGTATCGAAGAATCCCTCTCTATACGTCGCTTGGCAAACCCCCTTTAGGCAGTTTGTGTAGATAAAATGGACGCCGAACCTTCGACGAGACTGATAGGAAATGCGGTAACGTTTTCAAATAATCTATCATTTTAACTTCTAGATGTCTAATCTCTTCAATTGATTCAGTTGATCTGATTATTTCGCACACGAATGATGAACTTGGTTATATCAACGAATTACAGCTTTTGTGTACCAAGCATTAAGACAATTTTGACATGTTCAGCGGCAGTCCTGCTTTGAAAATCCGTTTGTTTTCGAAATGCTTTTCTGATATTCTTCCAGCCAACATTTCAATTAATCGGACAAAAAATGTAATATCCTTGAAGTATTTGCTCGATATCACCATAAAACCCGTGACAAGTCTGTATGAATGCTGAAAAAGCAGAAAATAATACAGAGTACAGCAATATTAAGAGGTTGTCCAGTGGTTGAATTAGATTTACCGACTCTCAGAAAACGTATCTGAAGTGAAAGGTACTCACAGAGCCAACAAATAACTTGAGTCCCAACTCAATGAAGTTCTAATTGAGTATTAAGCCCTCTTAACAGTACTACAAGCCGAAACACAGCCAATAAAATATACATACTGCGCAATCTCCTTTGTAAGCAATAAAACAGATGGCTAATGAGGAAATGATAACATGTAGGAGAAATTTTCGGTTAGATAGTTTAAGGCTAAAAGAATCAGTCTAAGAGAAAAAACTCTGAATACACACAGACTGCGAAGCAAATACATTTGATGTCATAACGAAAAGATTATCAAGTCGTCTGTACGATGCATAACGGATTAATTATTGACTTCAGAGATATAGAAGCTTTTAAGCTGAAAACCACATTTATCGACTAACCAGAAATTAAGCAAGGCATAAGCACTGACTATGAGACAGTATACAGTGATCATATCAGAGAGTATAGAGTGACCAAGAAAAATGAAAACAGGACGCATCCGTTTGCGATATCCGATAGGTAAATAAGTCAATAGAAGCTTTGAAATTATTAGCTCTGGGCTGAATAAATGAATTGATGGACTTTATTGTAACAAATCAACTGCACTCGCAGATGAAAAGAAAAAACCAATGAATGGCAACTTCAATCGCAGAGGTGTTCGACGTTTGCAAAACAGTACAAAACAAATGAAACCATAAAAACTGTAATTCAAAGCATTACGCAAATTGCTTCGCATTTTCCACTGCCATTATCGCAGCCTGGTCCAATTCTGAAACGAACAGCATAGGAATGCCACTGGCTTTCAAAGTTTCGCACGCGGAAGTCTTGTTGGTTCCTATTTTATTTAACAAAAAACATAATAGTCATTGTTGAAAGACAAAAGAATACTTACCGTCTAAGCGAATGATGAAAGGATGCGATAAACCGTAATGTTCCACACCGGCGATTATGCCTTCGGCAATAATCTGGCAATCGACAATGCCACCAAAAATGTTCACCAGGACTGTCTTGACCTACAAACAGACAAGGTATGGTTATGTAAAACAAATCAAAAATATCAGTATGTATAGTACACGAACGAAAATGGCACGCCCAAAATGGCCAAAGCGTAGCAGCA